AAACATTGGAATTCAAGTCTCTAACCAGGAATTCTGTCCTGAACTCGAGGTGTCTATCTAAACACACACGGAACATCCCAGCCTCAATGTCCTGTAGCACTCTGCCAATGACGTTAAGAGTGTTGAGGTCTTTTCTTGCTTACCATTAACAATTAATTTAACTGAAAATGATGAAAGACAACCCCAAGTAAAATAGACATGCGAAACTTGAGAAAAATGATTTTTTAAAAAAGATTTTTGTCGTTGGGTGCATTCGCTCACATAGATAGGGTGCGTGCTCTTGTTGGAGAGAGCCAGAGAGCAGGAAAGTGAGAAATGACCCTCCAGGAAGGATGGCCATGGCACCACGCCTTCTCTTCCATTCTCCTCCTGGGACTTTGAGCATCCATGCACATATACCTGTAGTGATTTTGCCACTGGGTCTGGGACTCGAGCCATGGTTGACTGTGTGGAGTCTAGCACCTTAACCACCATGTCCCCAAAAGTCAGAATTTTATACTGTCAATTGCTTTAAAAGCTTGCCACATTTTAACTTATTTTTAAAGAGATTTTTGCTGTAGAGCATATGTGCTCACTGGAGAGTCAGAGACAGAGAAACAGAATGTGAGAAATTACCCCTCCCGGGGGGATGGCCATGCTGCAGTCCCTTCTCCATTCTCCTCTCAGGATTTTGGGCACACATGCACACACACTTAGCATGAGTTCTAAGCCCCTGGGTCCAGGATTTGAACTGCGGTCGACTATGTGGGAGTCCAGCAACATAACCATTAGGCTGTCTGCTGGTCCCGCCACACTTTAACTTTAGGTTATGTCTGTGACTTCCTTATAAGTTTCTGTGTTGAAGGATTTCCAACTGCAAGAGAGTAATTTTGGTTTTTAGTTATATAGTTTATATAATGGCATTTGCATTTAAAAACATATATTTTCTGTATTCATGATAGAATGTAAACTTTTCATTATTTACATACATATGAGAATGGGAGGGAGGCACACCCTCCACAAGGTCTGGTCACCTGTGGAACTAATGTAGGTGATGAGAAGTACCGAAGGATGACGGAGCAGGTATTTAGAATGTAAGCCTGTTTCTGTCAGATCTGGGAACTTGCACACATGCTCCGCATGTTTCGGGCTGACCGGGCCAGGGATATGAATTATGATGTCTCGTGGAATTCGGCTCCACTGCACCACGGAGCCGGCCCAGTATCTGCTTTTTTGTTCAAAGCGTTCTGGGGCTGACCCAGTGGCCTAGTGGTTAAGGGAGTTATTTGAGTCCTGGTCCCAGTGACTTGAGAAACTCATTGGGGACACACATGTGCCTGTGCGTGTCCGTGCCCCAAATCCCGCCAGGATGGAGAAATGGACAAGAGGTGGTGGTGTGACTATGCCCTACTGGGGATGCACGTGCCCTCTGGCAATTAAAAAGAAACAAGCTGGGACCAGCAGTTAGCGTAATGGCTATGTCACTGGATTCCCACGTAGTCGACCGTGGTTCGCATCCCGGACCCGGTGGCTTAAAACTCACGCCGGGCGCATGTGCGTGCATGCCCAAGATCCCGAGAGGAGAATGGAGGAGAAAAACCTCTCAAAAAAAAAAAAGAAACAAGCCTTCTGTAGGGAGCGTCTTCAGACTTTGTACCTCTTCGAGCTCACAAATATGAAATCTGTCTTATTTATACATATTTCTCATCACCTAGAATTGGTTCCACTGAGAGTTCTCTTCCATCATTCCCCTTTTTGGGATTCTTTTTTTATACCACTGGGACTTACCTTCAAATAACTGTTTTTAAGAGTACATAATGAGGCCAGCAAGTAGTATGGTGGTTAAGACACTGGACTCCCAAGTGGTTCACTGCAGTTCGAGTCCTGGGCTCAGAGGCTTGAAACTCATGCTGTGTGCGTGTGCGTGTGTGTCCAAATCCCAAGAGCAGAATGGAGAAGGGATTGTGGCATGGTCACCCCCTCTGGGATGTGACTTCTCTCCTTCTGTCTCTCTCTCTGGTGAGTGCACGCGCACTATGGCAAAAACCTTTTTTAAAAAAAGACAGGATGAAAATTTTTCTAAGTCTTTCTTTAGCTAAGGGTATTTTACTTGTATTCTTCATTGATAATAGATAGGAATTTTATAGCCTAATAATTTCCCCTTAGAATTTTCAAGATATCATTCAGTTTTCCATCATTTCCATGCCCATCTAGTTTTTGTTTCTTTGCCAGTTTTTTTTTTTTGAGTTGTAAAATTTTATCAGAATGTGTCAAATTAGGTGTCTTTTTCTTCCTCAAGCACCCCCACTTTGTACTTGGCGTACTCTTCACATCCGAAAGTACAAGTCCTGAGCTCGAAAGAATTTCTTACTCTTTCTCTGACTGTTACCTATACTCCAAGTTTTTGTTTCCTCCTGGAAGCCCTTTTGACCAGATATGAGGTGACTCAACCTCCCTATTCTGAACTTTTCATTATTTTTTAAAATATATTTATTTTTAATTTTATGTATTATTATCATTATTCTTCAGTTTTGTCCAGAGAGAGACAGAGAGATGGAGGAGAAGGGATTGTAGCATAGCCACACTTTACTAGGGACTGCTTTCTTTGCCTCTGGCAAGCTCACATGCCCCCTGGCAATTAAACAACTCATTTTTTGTCAGGTAAGCATACTTTTGGGACCAGCAGTTAACGTAATGGCTATGTCGCTGCACTCCCATGTGGTCAATCGCAGTTCAAGTCCCAGACCTGGTGGCTTAAAAACTCACATTGGATGCGTGTGCATGAGTGCCCAGGATTCTGAGAGGAAAATAGAGAAGGGATTGCAGTGTGGCCATCCCCTTGGGGGGTGATTTCTCACTTTCTGTCTCTCTGTCTCTCTCTGTCTCTCTGGCAAGCCCATGCGCCCTATAGCGAAAACCTCTTTAATAAAAAAGGCATATTTTACCAGTTTTTTCCTTCTCCTTTCCCCTCCCTCCCTTCCATACTAACTTTTTCCCCCACATTTATTGATTTACAAAAGATCTTAAAGTATTGGGACCAGCAGTTAGCTTAATGGCTATGTCGCTGGACTCCCACATAGTCGACCGCGGTTCGAGTCCCAGACCCGGTGGCTTAAAACTCACACCAGGCGCGTGTGCATGTGTGTCCAGGATCCCAAGAGGAGAATGGAGGAGAAGGGATTGTGGTGTGGCCATCCCCCCTGGGGGGTGATTTCTCGCTTTCTGTCTCTCTGTCTCTCTCTGTTTGGAAAAAAATGCCCTATAGCAAAAAAAAAAAAAAAAAAAAAAAAGATCTTAAAGTATGGACAAAGCTAGAATCTAGTGACAAGGGCACAGTAATTTTCTTCCGAAACATTTTTTCTCTCTCCATTCCCCCTTTTATTAAAGAGAAGTATAAGTTAATTTATTTGCAAAAAGAAATTAGGTTAATCTCAATTTGGTCTGTTATTTGCACAAAGCTCCATAAGAATTCAATTTCTGATGCAAGGCAACAGATACCATTATGTTATTGAACTTATGCAAATAACCATTCTGCCACAGAATAAGAATGCTCACAAATATTTTCTAATTGAAAAGGGGTCAGGAATGGAGAAAAGTTCATTTTAGTTAAAAAAAACTTTTTTTTTTTAACAAATTGCTGAACCCATCAACATCTCGAAACAAAAATCCCTAAATCTGGAACACAAAGCATAGAAGAAAATCAATGTTTTAGAAAAAAGTCATAGAATTCTATTTCACTAGTTCAGTCTCATGTTGTTGAATTCGCAGTGTTACTGTGGTCTGACCTTTCCGTTAACATTCAACGTTGTTACTGATATTTCAGAACTTTCCCTACTTGCTGAATATAGTATTTTTGATTGAAATTGTTTTCCACTTAACACTTTGAATATATTTTCCCATTCTTTTCTTGCTTGAATTGTTTCCAGTGAAAGGTCTGATGTTAGCCTGATGGGATATCCTTTGAAAGTAACTTGATGTTTTTCTCTTGCCAATTTTAGTATCTTGACTCTGACTGTGGTTTGGTCAATCTGGCTATGATGTGCCTTAAAGAAGATCTTCTTGGGTTGATTCTATGTGGGGCCTTTGTATTTCTTGGGTCTGGATGTTTGAGTGCCTCTCTAGGTTTGGAAAGTTTTCTTCCAGGATTTCATGGAATAGATTATCAATGTCCTGATTAGTTTCTTCACCTTCTAAAATACTGATTATCCAGATGTTTGGGCGTCTAATGGTATCTAGTATTATGCATATATTATTCTAATTTGGGGGGTTATTTTCTCCGTCTTTTTGGTTAATTATTCTAGGTCAGAGGTTCTATCTTCTACATCTGAGATTCGATTTTCTGCATGAACTAATCTGCTTTTAATCCTTTCAAGGGAGGTTTTGATTTCCTGTATTACAACCTTCATCTCTGATAGTTCCCTATGATTCTTTTTTTATGGTATGTATTTCCTCTTCCAGATCGTGGAAGAACTTCTTCACCTCCTGGAACTCGGTTTTCTCTTTTCTCTTGCATCTCTGTTAGTTTTGTCACGAGTTCCATTGTACTGTCTGTGGATGATGAAGGGCTGTTCTTTCCCTTTGGGGGAGAGATATTTTCAGTATATTTTGAAACAAGGGAAACAGATTCGAGTTTAACGGACTTGCTGCAGTCACACAGCACTCAGTTCAGGCCTCTGGGGTGCCACGGTCCTATTCAGCTTCCACGTTTCACATCTGAAACAGCTGACACCCAAAGATGTTCAAGGAATCCCCTGGGGTCGGTATTAGCATTAGTGACGACCTGAACAGAATTGGGACCAGATTCCTCCAGAGCCATCAGCCCATGTGACCTGATGCTTTAGTGGCTGCTGGGATGTCCCAAGTAGATCCTCACCTTGGGGAAGACTGAGCCGGTATGTACAAATGGGTAACAAAGGTTCCCTTTCCCCTGCAGGTAAACGTAATGTTCAGATGCCCTCCTAGGCGAAAGTATCATTTCAATTCTGTTTTCTCCTTTGCCCTAGTGTTCCACGTGTGGGAAATGCTTCTCTCAGTCTTCTAGTCTAAACAAGCACATGCGAGTCCACTCTGGAGACAGACCATACCAGTGTGTGTATTGTACAAAGGTAAATGAGACATCTTTCTAAGTGGGGGGAGATCTGTCTTGGGGCCAGTTTGGGTGTCGATGGGTAAGACCTGGAGGTGTTAAGTCTGGCTTGTAATGAGCACGTTACAGTGTTGGTCAGTAATTAGTTCAGTCCCCATTTCTAACACAAATATGCTTAAGTTTGCTAAAGATGGTCAGATAGGACCGCTCATCATCAGACTGGCTAAACCAGGGCATGTGAAATAAAAGTACATCCCAAATATATCACAGATAGGACGCAATATTTAAGAGACTTAGTGGAGGTTCTAGTCTCACTTTTTCCCTTTTAGAGATATTTGCTCTATGGCATGTGCGCTCGCAAGAGAGATACAGAGAAGCATCCCCTCTGGGGGCATGACCAATCCACAGTCCCTTCCCCTCCATTCTCCTCTTGAGATCCTGGGCACACCCAGCGTGAGTTTTAAGCTGCCAGGTCTGGGACTTGAACTGTGGTCAACTGCATAGGAGTCCAGCCATGTAACCATTACGCCATCCACTGGCCCCAACAAATAACACTTTTAAGCACACGTGACTATTCTAAAGATATTTTCTCACAGCCACCCTCCACCGCCCACTCGCTACCAACCATTCCCCCACCTTACAATCTGTAGCATCTACACCTATTCTCTCCACTATTATATCTTCGACCTCTTAGCCTCTGCCATAACACACAGACATCAGGTACAAATTGAATGGGGATATACAATGTGCATCTTCAAAGTCTCGCTCACTTTGCTAAACATGAAGTCTTCTATATTCATCCATTTTGAGTCAAATGATAGGATCTCATCATTTCTTATAGCTGTAGTATTTTATAGTATACATGTGCCACAGTGTCAACTCAGTCATCAGCTTTTAGACACTCAGGTTGGTTTCTGTGTGACTATATCAATGAATAACAATGACATGAAATTGGGACCAGCAGTTAGCGTGATGCCTATGTCGCTGGACTCCCACGTAGTCTACCGTGGTTGGTGTCCTGGACCCGGTGGCTTAAACTCATGCCGGGCGCATGTGCGTGCGTGCCCAAGATCCCAAGAGGAGAATGGAGGAGAAGGGATTGCGGCATGGCCATCCCCCCTGGGGGGTGATTTCTCGCTTTCTGTCTCTCTGTCTTTCTGGCGTGTGCATGCACCCTATAGCAAAAACCTCTCCAAAAAAAGAAAAAAAAGAAAAAAAACCAATGACATGAAATTAAAAATTCTGTTCCTACATTGCTCAATGACCACACATGGCCTGCAGCTACCAACTAGGACAGGTACAGAATGTGTCCATCACAGAAAGCCTTACTAGGGCAGACTACATTTCATCAAGACATTCATTTACTTATTTATTTATACAATAAAGCCATTAAAAGTTTGAGTATAGGCTGTCTTATTCAGGAGGACTTCTAAACCTCCAAAAGTAGAAGACAATATTGGGTCTCCCAGGCTTAAGGAAATGGATGCCTCCAGGAAGAGGATGCTGAGCAGACAAAAGCAGGGCTGAGACGTAACTGGATCAAGTGAAATCCGGACAGACCAACAGCAGGTGGCTATAGATTTGGCAAAAAGGCAAACTGTCCTGGGAATGTTGAATGCTCTCCAATGGGACGCCCTGAGCAAGGACAAAAGTACTCCACCAACCATCCTGTTTCTGGAATTCTGATTCCAATCCTCCCCTTGTACTTCCCTCTAGTCTGGAAAGGGCGGTGAACGTAGCTTGGCGTTCGGACGGGCTCGTTAGACTGCAGTTACTTCGGTTGAAGACCGACTGTGTCTGGGAGACCCTGACTCCTAGTGCCCATTTGAAAGGTCCTGAATACTGCAGATACCCCTTTGTCTAGTGCTTTCCTCCCGGCCCACTAACTCTGGTTGGACCTTGTGTTTTATAACACTGTCAGTGAGCTCCCAAACCAAGTCACTTTCTTGCATCTCTAATATACTACCTGAAAATGGAAATGGTCAGAAAATAGTATGGAGTCCAGCAGGTAGCACAGTGGTTAAGGCATTGGACTCCAATGTGGCTAATTGCGGTTCGAGTCCCAGATCTAACAGCTTGAAACTCACACCAGGTGTGTGTTAAATCCCAGCTTAAAATCCCAGGAGCAGGGGGACCAGCAGGTGGCATGGTGGTTAAGGTGCTGGACACTTCCATATGGCTGACCATGGTTTGAGTCCCAGACCTGGTGGCTTGCTTTCTCACTTTCCCTCCCCCCCTTCTGTCTTTCTGGTCAAATTAAAACAAATAAATGAATGAATCAAATAAATAAATCTTTTTTAAAAAAATCCCAGGAGTAGAATGGAGGAAAAAGGATTGCAGTGTGGCCATCCCCCTGGGGGGTAATTTTGCGCTTTCTCTCTGTGTCTCTATCTCTGGTGATTGCATGTGCCCTATAGCATTAATCTCTTAAAAATAATAATATTAATGTGAATGAGGGGAAAAGTTATGAATAAGTGAAAGAGAAGACATGACCACGAAAAGATTTGTAAGAATAATGACATATCAATATTTGGGAATCTCAAATATTATAGCCACTCTGGAAAACAGTTTTGACAATTTCTTTAAAATCTCAACTTGGGGGAACCAGCAGTTAGCGTAATGGCTATGTCGCTGGACTCCCACGTAGTCAACCGCGGTTAGTGTCCTGGACCCGGTGGCTTAAAACTCACGCCGGGCGCGCGTGTGTGCGTGCCCAAGATCCCGCGAGGGGGATGGAGGAGAAGGGATTGTGGCATGGCCATTCCCCCTGGGGGTTGATTTCTTGCTTTCTAGCTCTCTGTCTCTCTCTGGCTGGGGAGCGCACACCCCCTACAGTGAAAATCTCTCAAAAAAAAAAAAAAAAATCTCAACTTGGATTTATCATGAGACTCATCAAATTGCTCTCCTGGGCACTTAGTCCAAGGAAATGAAAACTTGTGTGTTCACACAAAAACCTATTTCCAGCAGCTTTATTCAGAATAGCCAAAAAACTGGAAACAAACAAATGTCCTTCAAGGAATGTAATTAAACAGACTGCATGGTATATCCTCATTTCTTGCTGAACACTACTGAGCAATAAAAAAGAAATGAACTGGGACCAGCAGTTAGCGTAATGGCTATGTTGCTGGATTCCCATATAATCGACCTTGGTTTGAGTCCTGGACCTGGTGGCTTAAACTCATGCCAGGCGCATGTGTGTGTGTGCCCAAGATCCCGAGAGGAGAATGGAGGGGAAGAGATTGGCGTGATCATCCCCCCTGGGGGGTGATTTCTTGCTTCCTGAGTCTCTCTGTCTTTCTGGCGAGCACACGCGCCCTATAGCAAAAACTTATAGGGGGTGGGGGGAAGAATTATTTTTATTTAACTATTTATTTATTTATTTATTTTAATTTGACCAGAGACAGACAGAGCAAAAGAGAGAAAGTGAGAAAGCAAGCCACCAGGACTGGGACTTGAACCGCCCTTAGCCATGTGGGAGTCCAGCACTCTTAACCACCACACCACCTGCCCCCTCCTTTTTTTTTTTTTAAATAAGGAACTCTTCACAGATTTGCATGCCATCCTTATGCAGGGACCTTGCTAATCGTTTCTGTGGCATTTCCATTTTTGCTTATGCACGTACTATGTAACATTCTCAGTGGTAACATTATAGAAATGAAGTACAGATTAGTGCTCCTCTTGGTTAAGAAGGCAGTGGGAGTGGAGGGTAACTTGGGATCCTCCTGAGGGAAATGTGTGTCTTGACCGTGATGGTCAGGGTTAGTGTCCTGGCTGTCGCGTGCTACAGTATTCGTGTATGATGGCCACTGAGAGAGACTTGAGTAGAGGGTGTGCAGAGTCTCATACAATTCCTTATAATTATCTGTGAATCTGCAATTGTATCTCCATGTAAAGAAAGAAGAAGATCAGTGAGGTATTGATTTAGGGCCAGCCAGTGGGGAGGTGGTTAAGGTGGCTGGGTCCTTCGTGGCTGGCTGTGTGGTTTGAGTCTGGACCCAGTGGCTTGGAATGCATGGCAAATGTGTGCATGCCCAAACCCCTGAGAGGAGAGTGGAGAAGGATTGTGGAATGACCATTCCCTATAGGGGATGTGGGGGGTCCTTCTCTCTCTCCCTCTCCAGTTAAGTGCATGCACCCCAGAACATTTTTTTAAGAACATTGACCAATATTAGCTTCTTCTACAATGCAGTTTGTCTTGGGGTGTGGTCCTAGAACCACCTGCATCAAAATTTGTTTAAGTGCTGCAGGCCTGTGGGTTGGGGCTAAGGGACCTCACCTGACAGGCTGTGGTTTGAATCCTGTCCCTCCGGCATGAAAAACAGGCAAGGTGGATACATACAGGTGTGTGTGCCCCACATCCCTCCAGGATGGAGAGATGGAGAAAGGCATCCTTTTGATTTAAGGCCACTGCTGTTGACCATGACTGCTGCAGAGCCTTAAAATCCAGATCTGTCTGTTGGAGAACTAAGAGGGGACCTCAGTGTCCATAACAGCAAAATTAGCCCCTTTGTGGAGTTGCTTGTCCTGCTCACTGACCTTCCCTGCCTCTCCTGCTCTCTGCAGAAGTTCACCGCGTCCAGCATCCTCCGCACACACATCAGGCAGCACTCCGGGGAGAAGCCGTTCAAATGCAAGTACTGTGGGAAATCGTTTGCGTCCCATGCTGCCCACGACAGCCACGTCAGGCGCTCACACAAGGATGACGAGGGCTGCTCCTGCGGCGTCTGTGGGCAAACCTTCTCAGATCCGGAAGCTTTCTACGCACACATGAAGTGTCATGGAGACTGCTAGCCCTCGGCCAGGGACTCGGATGACCTCTCTTGTTCTGGATGTGTCATGTGAGCACATGCTAGGACCACGGAATGAGAGGGAAAGACGAAGCCACCACTTCACTGAACTTATCAGTGTACTGACGTGGCTTCAACAAAAATAAAATTGTGATGGACTTCTCCTAGAAACCGAAAACTTGAGCATCTGGAAACCAGCATGTACCCTGAGTGACTGTGGACATCCCTGAAGTTCACTTCCTAGATTTTGTGAGGATTAAAAAAAGGCATTTTTCTACTGCCTTGGGCTCCCATGGTACTGCCTATGCCAATGAACTGTTGCTTCTTCATAGAGCAAATTATTTACAAATCCTTTCATGCCAGGGCTTCATTAGTATTGTAACCAAGTCACCAGAAGTGGCTTAATCTTTCAGTTCGTTTCAGACCCTTCATTCTTACACTTCCCTCACCGCATGACAAATGCTATTACTATTACTCTGATTCTCAACCTGACTTCATTTCCAAAGAAGAGACTAGTAGGTTTTCCTAATTAGCTGGCTCATGCTAAAACAGAGTGTTCCCCCTCCAAAAAAGAGAGAGGCCCTCTGAAAAGGAAAGTGTACACGGGAGGCTGATGCACGCGTGTGGGGAATGAACTCCTGGAAAGGGTAGAGGCCACAGATGGAGCAGGGCCTCATGAGACGGTACCACTGAGCTGGCCACTTTATGGACGAGGCCAGCGAGGCTGAGGGGAAGGAAGTGGTACAGGTCATGGGCCTCTAAAGGGCAAAACTAGGTCTGCCAACTCCAAAGCCCTGCCTCTTCAATATTCACATGGGAAATCCGGCCCCAGAATAGGCAGCACCAAAGCACTTTGTGGGCAGGGATAGCCAAGGCGATAGATAGCCCATCTCTGGCCGTGTCTCTGTGGACTGCCTTCCCTTCATCCGTGGCCCATGGCCCTCCACATGGAGCAAATTCAATATGGAACAGATGCCCCTTCCAGAGGGAGGCCCCCAGCTGCAGTCCTTTGAGGGCTAGATGTAGTGCAGGTGGCAAAGCAGTGACAGATTCTCCTCTGGGGAATCCTTTGCCTTGGCTGGGCCTGAGTAATTTATCCTAATGGGAATGTGCCCTGTTGTTTTAGGGCCCTTTAGTTCATGTTAATTAAGTCAGAACAATGGTCTTTTGAAAAGGTTGGGGCTCTCCTGTAATTAGGCAGCCTTTCTCTGACTGCTAGTTCAAAATAGATGACTTGAAGCATTTTCTTACCAAATGTTTATGGTTTTGAACATTACTCGAAGATCAAGCAGTAAAGGCAAAGAGACATCTGGAGTTGGTGCGATCCCAGACTTTTCACTCACGCACAACTCGGATGAAGTACATTGTTGTTGTTTTACTTTTTGAGGTAATGTTTTTGGTCTTTCTAATAGTCACTCAAATGCAGGCATGCCAAATAATACTGTTTTGTATGGCTCAATCATTCTTGACTAACAGGAAAACTTAGGGGACCATTTCATGTCACCTGACCTGGTTACACAAAGCTTTGAACATATTAACCAGGTTATGTTCTTACATTTTTAGTTTGGGAATATAATCAGTTCATAACATCTTTCTTAAGTGAATAACTGAAGTTTTTTGTTTATTTCTTTAAACTATCTCACTTGTCCCTAATGGTTATTAGAATCAGCTTATGACAATAATGACAATTATTTAATAGAAGCAAATAGACTAAGACAAAGTAGAATACACACCACTACACAGGAAATAAGATAAATCAAAACTCTAGGCTAATATAATTTCACTGGCTGAACAGTGTAAGAAGCAGCGTGAGGTATAAATCACCTTTTCAAACCTTTAATTTGTCTACCATTTCCTCATTGTGTAATATGGGGTAAGTCATTTAATTTGAGGCTAAAGATCCTCATGTATTAAAGCAGTGTAATTATGTTTTAAATGTGAAAATTAAATAAAATGAAACTATGCATTCTGAATGATACTTTGTAAATCTTATTTTCTTTCCCTTATGCTGTCAAGTCCAAAAGGCAGACATGATTATGTGAATGTCGTTGATTTGTAGGGACTTCAAGAAGTTTGTGGAAAATGGAATTGGAGTATGAGGTTAGTTTGGTGCAAAAGATTTGATACCCATGAGTAATGTTTTCAGAATACAAATTTTCCACGAACTTTGAGGACCCCACTTAAGTGCTTGCTTTGAGTGATGGGTAAATCATGATTCCGGGACCATTAGGATTACCTAGGAGCTTGTTAAAGATGCAGATTCTCGGGACTGGCAGGTGGTTTGGTGGTTGACGTGCTGGACTCCCACATGGCCGACCACAGTTTGAGTCCTGGATCTGGCGGCTTGCTTTCTCATTTTCCCTCTCTATTCAAATTTTAAACTCATAATAAATAAAATTAAATAAATCTTTTTAAAAGTACAGTGAGGGCTCAGCAGATGGCATGGTAGTTAAGGCAGCTGAACTCCCACATGGCTGACCATGGTTTGAGTCCCGGACCTGGCAGCTTACTTTCTCACTTCTCTCTCTCTGTCTCTCTCTGGTCAACTTCAAAAAAAAAAAAAAAATACTAAAATAATGACAATGAATAAAATTATATTAAAAATAATTCTGACAAATTATAATGACAAAATTAAATAATTTTTTAAAAAGAGATTCAGATTCTCTAACTTTTCCCATTATCTGCTGAATAAGGAAGTCGGGTGGGGCCTGACAATCTTCTTGGAAGTTTGAAAACCATTGCTTTATTTGATTTATCCTCCCACTCCCTGCAAGTAGCAGTGGGTGAAGCTGAATAGCTAGGTGATGGCACAATCACAAAGCTCTTCATTAAAGAAGCCGTTAGGATGCCGATTGCAGGCTGAGTAGTGCTCTCCCGGCAATAATGGATACCCATAGAACTGTCCTCCTTTTACTATTGGGAATACGGAGGTCTTTCTGCAGCTACAGATGCAGTTTAGAGACCTCAAGAAGTAGTTGCTCTGCTCATACTTCTCACTACCTGAGTCTGTCTAATGACAGGTATCTGTTCACTCATTAGAGTAAAGGGAAAAAAATGTATAAAAAGGGAGATTTGAAGCCTTGGAAAAATAACTAGGCTCACAGTAAAGTAGCGTTCATTATATTGATGGGACTCTTAATGGGCCCTCAGGGTGTCCTAGGACCTGGGGAGGCTGGCAGTTGCTATCAAAGGAGACAGATGCTTGGGATGTCAGTGGGGCTGACTGCTGTGGCCATAAGGCCATAGCTCAGTTTGTGCCCAAAGTGCAGGGCAGGCTAGGGGTGGCGGAAACTGCCATTGGTAGTATGAGGTGAAATCATAAATTCTGTCCTAGATCACCAATTACTGGTGGTCTGATTTTTTTTTTAATTTTTTTTCTTTTTTGGGGGGAAGAGGTTTTGCTATAGGGTGCGTGTGCTCACCAGGAAGACAGAGAGAGACAGAAAGTGAAAAATCACCCCCCATGGGGGATGGCCATGCCGCAATCCCTTCTCTATTCTCCTCTTGGGATCTTGAGCACGCATGCACACGAGCCCTGTGTGAGTTCTAAGCCACCGGGTCTGGGATGCGAACCGCGGTTGACTACGTGGGAGTCCAGCGACATAGCCATTACTCTAACTGCTGGTCCCCCTGGTGGTCTGATTTTGACATGAGAGGTTGCACAGTATCTCATCAGGATTCCTAAGTGCTTTTAGAATGCTTTATGACTCTTGAGGGGCTGTAATTTCACTGAACTATTATTTGATTAACTCTGCTCAACATGCAGGAGAATGAATTTGTGCATTGAATTCTTCCAATAGAAACACTGAACTAGAATATCGTAACCTAGAACTTTTTGTTGGCTGGCAACAAAAAGCTTTCTCACTTCCCCTTTCTCTCTCTTTCTGGTCAAATTTAAAAATAAATAATAAGGGGCCAGCAGGTGGAGTGGTGGTTAAGATGCAGGACACTCCCACATGGGCGACTGCAGTTCAAGTTCTGGACCTGGTGGTTTGCTTTCTCACTTTCTCTCTGTGTGTGTGTGTGTGTGTGTGTGTCTAGTTAAATTAAATGACAAACAAAATTAAATTAAATCATTAAAAAATAATAATAGCAAACAAAATTAAATAGTTATTAAATAAACAAACAAACAAAACCATAAAGCCTGCGTTATCTAAAAAATAAGACTATAGGGGCCCCGGGGCCAGCAGGTGGCATGGTGGTTAAGGCACTGGATTTCACATATCCAATGGTTTGAGTCCTGGACCTGACAGCTTGAAAAATGTGCCAGGTTGGGACCAGCAGTTAGCGTAATGGCTATGTCGCTGGACTCCCATGTAGTTGACCGCGGTGCGCGTCCCGGACCCGGTGGCTTAAAACTCAAGCGGGGTGTGTGTGCGTGCGTGCCCAAGATCCCGAGAGGAGAATGGAAGAGAAGGGATTGCGGCGTGACCATCCCCCCTGGGGGGTGAGTTCTCACTTTCTGTCTCTATGTCTCTCTGTCTGTCTGGAGAGCGCACGCGCCCTATAGTGAAAACCTCTCAAAAAAAAAAAAAAAAAAAAGTGCCAGGGACATGTGTGTGCATGCCCAGAATCCCAAGAGGAGAATGGAAGAGAAGGGATTATGCATGGTCAACCCCGCAGAGGGTGATTTCTAATTTTTCCAATCTTTCTCCCTCTTTCTCCTCCCTTGTCCTCCAACAAGTGCACATGCCCTATAGCAAGAAAAAAAAAAAGGGAGGGGTGAGCAGATGGTGGCACAGGGGTAAATGACAATGTTCTGTGAGACTGACCCACTGGGCAAGCTTCCAGATTTGAGTCTGAAGACCCCTGAGTACTCTCAGGATCTGGGGCTGGCTGAAGGTAGTGGTGGGTCGCCATTTCGAGACCTTCTTGGGGGATGCTTCTCTCTCTCATTCACTTATGGAAGAAATAAACTTTTTTAAAAAGGGACCAGCAGATAGTGTAATGGCTATGTTGCTGAACTCCCGTGCAGTTGGCCGTGGTTCGAGGCCTGAACCCAGCAGCTTAAAACTCATGCCAGGTGCATGTGCCTGAGAGGGGAGAATGGAGGAGAAAGCATTGTTGCATAGCCATCTCCCCAGGGGGGGAGATTTCTTGCTTTCTGACTCTCTGTCTCTCCAGCAAGCACATGCGTCCTTTAGGGAAAACAAATCTCTATATTAAAAAAAAAAAGGAGGAAAAAAGGTCAAACTGGTTTCCAGAGTAGCATTTAAACATAACATTTAAAAATATAACTAAAAATAGTAATACTACAAATAGTATATACACTTTTTCTTCTCTGATAACTTGATAATGTGTG